TCTCTCTCTCTCTCTCTCTCTCTCTCTCTCTCTCTCTCCCCACATTTCTTAAAAATTTTTAAACCAAACAAACACAATTATGATGGGATGGTAGAAGAAACATCACACACTGCCCTTTGCCTACTTAGCTCACTCGTAATCTTCATCATCCACCTCTGTACAAGTATTTGCTAATCCTACAAAGTACCTTTTTCTGAAACATTGAGGAGTAAGTTAGACATATCAGTTTCTTTCCCATGAACATTTTGCTATATGTTTCATAGCCTAGGGACACTTTCTTCCACAAGATATTGTCAACACTAATAAATTTGTATTGATACAAGTCTTTAATACACTCTTACTGGGGCTGAAGAGATGGGCCAGTGGTTCAGAGCACTTGCTCTTGTAGAAGACTTGGGTTTGATCCACTGCAACCACAGTGGCTCACAGCCATTGTAACTCCACTTCCAGGAGACCTGATGTCCTCTTCTGACCTCTGAGTGTCCGGGTACACATGTGATACACATACAAATATTCATGCAAAGTATTAATACACACAAAATAAAACAAATAAGTCTAAAAGTTTTTAAGATATACTGTTCTATTAAATGGTCCAATCTCCTACTTAACACAGGTAGGACCAGGGTAAGGGCTTCTTACATTCGCCTTCCATCTGGAACCCATTTGTATTTTATGCTGTGGACACTTGAGAAAAAGTCAGTCCTTCCTCTTCCTTTTGTGTTAGCAAGAGTCTTCCCCATGTCTAGATGGTGGGTGTGGCTTCTCAACCAAACGAAGTGGGTTGTATCCTCTGAGAGCTATGTCTGGAGCAGTGTGATATCCACCTGCCTGTCATCAGTAATATTCATGCAGATAGATCCTTTCCTCAAGATAATTCATTTTCTCCATTGATTCCCAAATAATAAGTAGTCTGTGTACTCAGACATGTAGCTATTCTGTCCTCTACCATAGTTGCCTCTTAATCCAGTATTTGTTGATTAACTAATCATCTTAAGTAGGTATGGTGGCACATGCTTATAATCCTAGTACCGGAGAGGCTGAGACAGGAGGATCAAGGCCAGTCTGGGCTTCATATGTCAAGACCTTGTCTCCAAAGAGTGAATAAGCAGGATGTACCTGTAACCCCAGCACGTGAGAGGTGGATACAGGTGGACTGAGAGTTTAAGACTAGCCTTAGCTAGTTTGAAGCCAACCTATATGAGACTCTGCCTCAAAAATAATCAATTAATTAATTTAAAAGAGATTAATACTGGGGAGCCCAGAAAGTATTGGCACTGTTTCCCCAATCAGCAGAATAAACCATAGAAAGAGCTATTCATGGTCAAAATAGCTAGCCAGTTTCCCCCTCTTGGAGGATATCATTAGCAAAGATATTGGTACCCCATTACATATAGGGTCACGCATCCTCATTATTATTCTGGCCTCTCACAATAGGTGACAGTTGGAAACACTGTCTTCTTTGCCCATTTTAGGTTGGCCAACTTCCTGTCTAGAAGTTATTCCTCATTAAAAAAAAAAATAGCCATTCCAACCAGGTCTCTCACACAATCTCACCCATTTGGACATTCTCTTCTAGTAATGACTAATCTATGGTCACCTCAGATACCTTCTTACAGAGAGAAAGATATCTCATTAGTGAAGATCTTCCCTTAAGCTGGAAACTAAGTTGATTTAGAGTTAAGCCTTGATACAGAGACTCCCCCCAAAAGTTGGGTACAGGATTTGCCCTGGCTGGATCCTCTCACTCCTGCCTGCCCTGTGCCACCAGACATGGGCAATTTATAAACTAGATTGTTTTAAGAAGATCGTGATAGACTAATTATTCTCTCTCTCCTGAAGATGTAACACCTTAATCTCACAATCTTGCTAATAAACAACTTGTGTGTAGTGGAGGACTTTGTAGCTGTGTTTAATGAAAGGTCTTGGCATGGGGAGACTATGCTGCTGTAAACAGATGAGACCAACGTAATCACAGGGTCTGATAGAAACAGACTTAGTATTAGACGTATGTTGGGCAGATCAGAGCAACAGAGATGATGCTGCCCTTGAAAGAGAAGGGGATCCCAAGCTCACGAACACAGATGCCCTCTAAAAGTAGACAGGGGAGGAACAGAACCCCTGACAGCCTCTAGGAGGGATGCAGCTCTGTACACCCACTTAGATTTCTGGCCTCTATCATAGAGAGATGAACAGTTTCTGTTATGAAGCCATAAATCTGGTGGTCACTCTTATAGCCATGATAGAAAACTACAGTGGAGATACCCAACAACCCTCAGTTGCCATAGCTACCAGCCCACACTTTCCATTCTGCCTGTCCTGGACTGTCCATGCTGACCTCAGCTTCACTGATTTCAATCAGCCTCTAGGACTTCCTCTCCCTCATCATGCAGTGTCTGCTTCCCTGAACAGAGCAGATGTGAGAACTACAGGTCAAGCTTGCTGTCAAGACTCATTTTTCCTTCTCCCACAGACACAACCTGTGTGAAAAAGTGTCCAGAGGGCTACCACGCTGACAAGGATAGCCAGCAGTGTGTGCTCTGCCACAGCTCTTGCAAGACCTGCGAAGGACCACACAGCATGCAGTGCCTCTCCTGCCGACCTGGCTGGTTTCAACTGGGCAAGGAGTGCTTGCTGCAATGCAGGGATGGGTAAGGAGTTCAGCACTTTCTCCTTCAGCCACTCTAGAGGGCAAGCCATTTGCCGATGATGAAAGTAGGGCTCAGAGTAAAGCCTGCCTGCTAGTAGGCCAAAGTAAAGGAAGAGAAAAAAGAAAAACAGTGTGTCCTAGTGAGAGAACACACTAAATCAGACGGTATGATCCCATCAGACTAAGTTACTATTATTCATCCTCAGGGCCTAGCATCACTGACAATCCAGAGATGTGTGATCACAAGCAGAGGAGTTTCTCCTCCATTCATAATGACCTAGAAGCATTAACACAGGTTTAAGGGCTCTTCTTTTTTTCTGTTTTGGGAAGTGGCATAGATTCAGGGGATTCAGGGTTAATATGCAAAATCTAAGCAGTACACTGATCTTAAAAGGGAGCAACTTCAGTGAACATCTCTCCATTAACACCGCATGGCCTCTGCAGCCTGCCAGGCGCCCACAAATGCCTAGCATCCACAATTTACAGCTTTGGCTCTAAATGCAACCCTGACACTGAAGTGAAATGCTAATATAAAAGCAATGGGGGAAATTATTTTGTGAAGAAAGACTCTATTATTTTCCTGCTAAGAAAAGCTGCTGGTGTGTATATCAGATCTGATTGCAAACACTCTGGGAAGAAGGGTTGACTGGGCCATGACCTCTCCAGCTTTCCACACTCCTGCCCACTCTCTCTCAATTAGTAACCCAGGGCCATGAGAGGTTCCAGACCCAAATCGGAGGACCTTTCCTGGATGTTTTAATCCCGGTTGGTACCTTCCTTCAGTCTTAAGGGATATCTGTGTGCTACATTTATGTCGGTGCTGTGTGCTGATTGGCTCACATTTCTGTGTCTCTCACTCATTCACTCACTCATGTAATCCATACGGGTTAGTGCAAAAGCATCTCGTCCATCTCGATAAGCTGAGTAAAAACCCATGCTTTGTACTTCAAAGGCTTACCCTGGTTCTACTATCTTCTCATTTGAAAAGAAAAATTGAGCTACTGGAAATAAAACATCTCTTATTTTTTCATGTGATGTGTGCTACCATACAAGCAACACATTGTCAATTCTTCAGAGATTTTTGGCAAGTACTGTCCATGTGAACTAATGGCATGGTACTTCCAGGCTGGAGTAGAAGGGGGTGCTACCAGGGAAGTGTCTTAAAAGATCTGGATCCCACAGAGAGGTTCTCTATCTTCCTCAGATCTAGTCACTCTCTGCTCCACAGCACACACCAAAGGTGTGCAGTCCTGTAGCTAAACAGCGTGCAGAGCGTGGCAGTAAGAAGACGATGCTGCCCACATTGTGTGGAGTTACCAGAAGGAGGGGGAAGGGGAGTACAGGCTGCCACCACTCTCTTTACTAGGGAAGAACTGGGGTATTGGTGAAGTATTGGTGGGGAATTATTCCTATGGTAAAATCAGTGTTCCAAATACATAAGCATGTTGGTTAAATGTTTTTTTTCTTGTACGGACAGATGTATAATTCTTTTTACCTTTCTACAATAAGTAATTATTTGGTCTTGACCTTCTGCAAAGCTCTTTAAGGTTCAAGCCTCTATGCTTACTCACAAAGTCGTTCAAGGCTGTGAGGCTCACAAGATTTCAGTCTTACGTTAAAACAATCCTCGTAGTAAGCAGTAATATGGAATTGTAATATAATCCAGCAAGCTCCTTGGTGTCTCTATTTCAATGTTATGCTTTGACAATTTTTGAAACCTACTTTGAGTAGATGTTTTCCACTCATGGTCCCTACTGGTGCTTTGCACCTTCAATACAGCTTGCAAAGCATTTCAACTAATACATCTTCTTTATACAATGCTTTGATTCTACAATAATCTTATGAGGTGGACACTGGTCCCTTCATTTTACAGAAAAAGAAACTAAGGCTGAGTTTAACTGATGTGTCTGAAGTCACATAGCTATAAAACCACTCAAATACCTTGGTCATCCTATTGACTAACTGAGGTAATTCTTTATCATGGACGTACAGAGAGCAGCGTGAGGATTACTGTGCCACAGTTGGGTCACTGGGATACAAAGTGACTATTTCAGATTGTTAGACAGAGACCGGGCTCAACACTACCTAAGCATGCTGTCAGTTTTCTCATCTTCACTGAGCTGATTTACCACAAACTGGGATTTGAGGTGACATTTTTACACCAGAATCCTGGAACCTTGAGGTTACTGAGCTAATCCCTGGGACATGCTGATGCCCAGAGGTGCAGACATGGAGCACACCACGTCTGCCTGCTTTCTTAAGACCTTGATCTTATTTGGAAGATATCTTCAGCCAATGCATTATTGTGTTATATTTTAGTTTGACAGATAAGCCTTTTCATACCATCTCTTGTTTGACCTTAAGCAAGTTCTCTAAATTTTCTATAACACATATTTTGGATCTAAAATATTTAGGATTATAATATAAACTCAGAGGGTATACTGTGAAAATTAATTTGAAAATCCACAATTGACACAAATATACATGACTTATTAATAGGGTTCTAAATATTAGTATAACAACTTCCTAGAGTTTAATTGCCTGCTACTATTAGCCCCATGTTACAAATAAGGACTATGATGCACAGAGATATCAAGTGATCCACCCAAGGGCACACAGCTCATTAGGTGGTATTGCTTGATTTGAAACCACACATGTTCGAGACACTAAGCTCCTAATCTCCAGGTTCTGGTTCTCATGTTCATGCTCAATGGCATGAAGCATTCCCAAAGTCCCCAGGATGCCATCAAGCACACACCAGAGCTTAATGATAGTTACTGGCAGAATATTGACTCTCCTAAAATTCTTTCAAAGGAGTTTACATCTATTGTATAAAGGCCATCCTTGAACCATACGACCTCATATTTCAAAATGTTTTTAAATTCAGAAATTAGCAGATCCAATTAGAGGTGCTTTTAAATTGCCTTTGAAACTGGGTATAGTGGCACATGCTATAGTCATAACATTTGGAAGGCAGAGGCAAGATAATTGCTATGAATTTGGGGCCAGCCTGGGCTACAAGAGTTCAAGCCCAGTCTGACTATACATGGGAACTTTGTCTCCAAAATGATGGTGGTGGTGGTGATGATGATGATGATGATGATGATGGTGATGATGATGAGAAGAAGGAGGAGGAAGAGACAAGGAGGAGGAGAGGAAGAGAGGAAAAGGAGAAGAGAGGAGAAGAGAGAAGAGGGGAGGTGAGGGGAGGGGGAGGAGAGGGGAGGGGAAGGGAAGGGGGGAGGACAGGGGAGGGCAGGGGAAAGGAGGGGAGGGGAGGGGAGGGGAGAGGAGGGCTCTTCCATCCAGGGTGTGATTCAGCAAAGGCTGAAGTTAAATGTAGGGATGTCAGAGGAAGAACAGGAAGTAGCAGTGATGGTACCGGACTGTTGAGCCACCACTGTGTGTGACAGTAACATTATAGGTACTTCCAGCTTCACAAACAGCTGGGTGGGCGTGGGATGCTATGGTGTCCAGTGTACAGGTAAGCAAACCCACGCTCACTAGATCCATTGCAACTTGGCAATGATTCCATGAGTAAGGTTGAGTGAAGAGACTGAAGGGGCCAGGCCGGTGCGTGAACCCTGTCTGACACAGCCTTTGGTTCAAGCAGAGCCCTTGCAGCCCTCCACATCTGTGCTGTTGCTGAACACAAGATTGTTTTCCTTGTCATTATTTCTGCCCCAATGTAGCATGACAATTATTCCCACAGCATTTATACTGCATTGAGAACTAAGTCGAAATGATTGAACGCAATAAAGAGGAGGTACGGATTCTGTACCATTTTCTACATGGGACTGTGCGCACATGGGTTCTGGTGTCCAACTGCCAGAGGACATCTGCATATACCTTTGCTTCTCTCTTGGTTTCAGATATTACGGAGAAAGCACCAGTGGTAGGTGTGAGAAGTGTGACAAGAGCTGTAAGTCATGCCGGGGCCCACGGCCCACAGACTGCCAGTCTTGCGATACATTTTTCTTTCTCCTGCGCTCCAAGGGGCAGTGTCACCGCGCCTGCCCGGAGCACTACTATGCAGATCAACACGCACAGACCTGTGAGAGATGCCATCCGACTTGTGACAAGTGCAGCGGTAAGAACATGCGTGTGTTTTGCGTATGAAAATGGAAATTGGAGAAGTTTTCCTTTCTATTTTGCCTCTCTTTCCCTCTTTCCTCCTGGGGGGCGCCCCCATTTCCTAAACTCTTCTCAAGCCTCTTCAGCATCCACACAGTCTACCCACTCGATTCTACAACATCCTTGGTACCTTTCAGGCTTCCTGTCTTTTGAGACTGATACAGGAGGCATCATGTCCACTGGGAGTGCTTGCTACCTACTCTCAGCTTCCTTCTGACCTGTATGATTTCATCACTGTGAAAAAAAAAAATCCCTGAGAATCTGGCTCATGGCTGCAGAGGCTTTGGTCTACAGTCTGCTTGTTGCGCTGCTGAAGCCCGTGGTGAGGCCCATTGTGGCAGCAAGATCGTGAAATGGAGCAGGGCAGAGCAACAGAGAAGTCAGCTCAGCAGCCAGCCAGTGAAGATGGGGGGTGGGGGGAAGCAGACACCTACTTCCTGGGCATGCACATAAGCACTCTACAATCCTCCAACTGACCCTACTTTTCACCATCTCCAAAGAATGCCATTAGATTATGAAACCATCAAAAGATCCATCCACTGCTTAAGCCGAGACCCAATTGCCTCCCCAGAGTCTGGCCTCTGGAAACCAAGCCTCCAGTACATGAGTCTGTGGGGACATTTCATTTCAAACTGTAACACTGCTGATAGCAACTACCTAGGGAAATCCATTTATGTTCATCAGTTTAAAAACTCCCTAAGACATCTGCCTCAAGCTCTCCCATACCCCAATACTGTTTTCCACATGTGTGCTTGTGCCAAAGATCATAAAATCAATATTGGAGGGACCACCATTTAACCACTGCCCAGGGTGGTACCTTGATGTTATCTCTGGTACTGTTCTGTCTCTTGCCCCCTACTGAACCTACCTACTTACCTACAAAACAGTTGAATTTCAAGATCTTTGGACCCTTCCTAAGTATCCCTCTTGCCACAAAATATGGTCACATTGAATCCATGTAAAAGACGGTAGCTCACATTCCTGTTCTCCTTTTCAAAATGGCCGTGGCTTTCTCAGCCCTTCTGGATACATTTCATCTCTAACAGTCCTTTGGATGTTGATTGACATCACATTAATTTTTATTATCCTAAGTTTAACAAAACAAGGACATTTTCACGTAAGTATATAACATATTCTCCCTCTATATGTTTCTATATTACCTGTGTAAAGGTGTAGCCCTGGCTGTCCTTAAACACATGATGTTCGTGCCTTATCCTCTTAGCCTTTACCTACTGGAATGTACTACCATGCCCAGCTTCCACTTTTAAAGATAATTAAGAGGGAGAAATATAACAGATTTTATGGGTGTACTGGGGGTGGGGGGGAATGGGAAGATGAGAGGGAGAAGGGAGAGGAGATAGGGTTGAGGGAGAGGATTCAGGGAAAGACAGGTGGAATTGAGAGATGGTATGGAAACCTAGTGCAGTGGAAACTTCCTAAATTATTTGTAGGTAATCCTAATGAAGTCTCCCAATAATAAGGGAGACAGAGTCCCAAATAGTCATCGCTTGTCACCAAAAGAGGCTTCTAGTACCAAGACTGGGTTGTGTTCATTTGAGTTGTTGGCCAAGGGAGTGCCATAGAAATCCCCAAACAGCTCAGACTATTGTAAAAACAATGGGATGCTCTCCCCAAACTGACAGCAAGACCCCATTACTGAAGACACACGAGTCATTGAGAAGTCAAGCTGGTGCCCACACAAAGCCTTCCCACCTATGTTCTAGCATCTTTGGTGTGTGAAGGAACTCTGGAGGCTGCCAAAAGAGAAACATAAACACCAACCCAGCCATCCTTTGGCCTACAATGTGTCCTGCCTACAGATATGCTAAGGTAATGTTGGCAGAGAACCTATAAGAGTAGCCAACCAATGTCTGATTTGACTTAAGGCCCACTCCACGAGACAGAACCCATACCTGGCAATGCTTGGATGACCAAAAAACTCAGAGACTAGGTAGCCCAGAGACTCAAAGTAAAGCCAACACAACTAGTTTAAATAAAACAAAACAATCAAACAAAAGAGGTGATTCAAATCTTTCCCTATCCCTTTTCCCTACTTTAACTTCAACATTAACCCTTATTTCACATATTCTAGAGTCAAGAACCACCCACAACTACACAGAACCATACAGCAGCCACCTAATATGCCACTCTCTCACAAGACCCTGTGATGTAGTTCTCCTTCCTCAAAAACAAAAATGAGACTTTGAGACCCAGCTTGAACATCACCTCTAGAGAGCTACTCTTGGTCCTCCTGGCAGGCTTCTTCCTCCATCCCTGTTCTGTAATTCAGTGTTTCACCAAAGCTTTTTATGTGACATTTTTCGAATGCTGGTTATTAAACTTAGGCCCTTAACTGTGCTAGGCAAGAACATTTGCCTATTCCATAGAGCTATATTCCCAGCCTTCCATTACATTTTAGGAAATATGTCCATCTCTCCAACTGTGAGCCCATCCAACAAGAACAAGGATTATCAAGGTTCTATGACATTCATTTGTAGCCCTGTTCCCACTCTTTATTACAACACTTGATAAGTGCTCTCTGCGTGTTAAATAAGAAATGCTTGTATAGGAGGTAAATAATTCCTTTTCTTTCCAGACTGGAAAATGCTCAGCTCTAAATGTTGTTTGTTTGTCCAGCCTTGACTCCAACGAGATGTTGCTGAAGATAGCCTTGAATGTTTTATTCTCCTGCATCTATTTCCCAAATTGCTGGGATTACAGGCATACACCACCATAGCCAGTTTAGGAGGTGATGGGGACTGAACTCCGGCTTCGTATAGACTAAACAAGCGCTCTTTGAGCTCACCTATGGCCCCAGGCCCATTGTTGATCTTCTTAGCTTTCTTTTATCTGTGTATTTTTGAATGTTCAACTTAAACTCGTTGTGAATGAGTTAGATTCGGGCTCTTACTTCTCTGTCTCTCCCTTCATCCTTAAGAGGATTTTTTGTTTGTTTGTTTTGCATCTCTTTATATAACTCTGGCTGTCCTGGAATTTGCTCTGTAGACCAGGATACATCCTTACTTCTTAAATCTGTTTTTCCGTTTACCTCACCCATACCTTCCACCAGAAACTCTATCCAGACTAGGATGGTCCATTTTTCTCAGAGGTGGCATTCTTGGAAGTACAGATCTTGATGGAAGGTCTTGTCTGTTACAGCAGAGTGCTGCCCTAACTTCTGTTTAAGCTCTGTGTCAGAGCTTTGGTTCCAGTATCTTTGGAAACACTTAGCTCATGTTATGGCTTTAAAAAAAAAAAAAAAGCAACAAGAAAAAGTTGAGCTCACATCTGCCACTGCCAACTTCCTGTCCTGGGCATATCAGCCAAGTGCTTGATCCTGACGTTGTTTGGGTGTGTTTGCTTTCTGGATCAAGGAAACTTCATCTAGATAGTTAGCCAAATCTCTTTTTCTTGCTTTCTCTGCTACTTCTTTTCCCATCTCAGTATGCTTCAAACGTATCAAACTATATCAGAACCTGAGTTCATGTATGGTCTTTATTTTTGAGACAAGGTCTTAATATATAGCTCTGGCTGGCCTGGAACTCACTCACTATATATACCAAACCAGCCTTGAACTCACAGAGATCTGTCTGCCTCTACCTCCTGAGTGCTCGATTGGATTAAAGGCTTGCCCATCCATGCTCAGCAATGCATTTTTATTTGATGTGAATGGGTGTGTTGCCTGCATGTGTGCATGCCAGTGCTCGAAGTGCATTCAGTGCCCACAGAGGCCAGAGAGGGCAGAAGATACCCAGGAACTGGAGTTACAGACAGTTGGAAGCAATGAAGTAGGTGCTGGGAGTCAAATCCCCCTCCTCTGGAAGAGCACCTACTGTCCTTAAGTGCTGAGCCATCTTTCCAGCTCCACGTTTAATTTTTGGTTGTATATGTGTTATTAAGGGATACACATTTTCTTAGAAGATTATGTACTAAATTGTTGCCCAACCTCACTCTGCTAATTCAAAAGCCTTGAGTTATTTAGTACTTCTGGGGGCCAGGATGCCAAACATCTGGGTCAACCAAAGGCCAATCTGATCTAGTTTGGGGGCTTTGTGTGTGTGTGCATGTATTTTTTATCCCCCTCCATGTGTGCCTGTGTGTGCCTGTGCATACTTTCTTTTCATACATGCATCAAATTTCTAGCTGAATATCTCACATTAGATTTCTAACAGACACCCCAAGCCTCTCCCTCTGTTCTCAGACCACTTTTTCCTATTTCTTACCTTGATGAATGGCTTTATTAGACTCCCCCTTGCCTGACACAGTAACCTAGCATGAGCCTTTTCTCTTCTCGATCTCTAGGTCTCAACAGTTTGTCCCTAAGTCATGTGACATCTTAAATTCCTCCCCTCTGTTAGTCATTAGTATCATTTTAACTTGGTTTCTACTCTCACAGTTTGTTGCTTGAATCAACCGTTAGTACCAGTTAGCTAAGTGCTCTTCCTGTCCCCACTATGAGCCACCTAGTGCCCATCCAGTCCTCCATGCTGTCAGACGGATCTTGCAAGGCAGATAATAAATAGGATGCCCTTTCGCTCAGAAGCATGTCTGCATTGATTTTAGTCTGTGTTTGATGTCTGCATCAGAGGCTCTTACCCCACAGGCATTCCTCACATTCACCCCCATCCCTCACTACCTCTTACTCTGTCTTTGCATCCAACCACAGTGACTTATTATAAATCTGAACCAACCTTGCCTCCTGCCTCTCCAGGGTACTGACTCCTTCAGTCCGTTCTGCCAGGACCGCTTTCTGCTCCATTACACTCAGCATGTTTTTTCAAAAGTCTTTCCCCAGCCTTCCATCCGGTGTTGCCTTACAACCCTGAGTATCCGTTCATCTATTTATTTACTCAACAAACACTTATCCAGCCATCTTGGATATCCAGATTCCTGGAAACCAGGGTGGTTTACTTTGCGTCATTTTCATTCTTGTTTTTGTTTTCAGAAACTGTTTCTATGATAAAATTAAAAAAAAATACCCATACGCAAAGCAATAGGAGAGGAAACATTTATTTTAGCCTACAGTTCCAGGTTATGGTTCACCATCAAAGCGGGGAAGTCGAAGAAGCAAGAATTGAAAAGCACCTTATCACATCCACACATAAATGTGGTAAAAATGAGATGCCAATAAATAACTGTATTGTCATTTGGTAAACCTGACAGCCCTAGTTTCTACCCATTAGTGTTGTGCAGTGAGCCAGGGGAGGACCATCACTAGGTAAGCATTGGGAATCCGAGCATTCCTTTCCCCAGCTCATCAGCACAGGATCCTCAAGACAGGATTCTGGGGTGACTGGCAGCACTGGATAGATCTGGAGAAAGCCCACATGTTGGATTTTTCTTTTTCTTCCTGTTTGTGGCTTAGCCCTAGAACTCACTGCTAGCCATTCCCAGGCTCCCTGTTCTTCTCCTCTGCGGACCTTTAAATACCACACACACCCTGAGCTAGTTAGTGGATACACCCAGATTAAAAAAGCTGGGAATTTTCCTCCAACCTTAGGCTATATAGTAAATAGAAAAGAAAGGTTTAATTTTTCTGAAACATTAACTGTCACACTGAGGACATGGGAAACAAATCTAGAAAAAGTTGGCAGTCTGAATGAGCAGAGTGTCTGTGTTTCATCCACTTCTGACTGTCCGGTAATTTTAGTTGTTAAGAAGAAAGCTATTTGGTGGCCACAGGGGCACACACCTGTAACTCCAGCACTTAGAAGACTGGTGCAGGAGGAGGATGGAAGATTAAAATCAGCCTGGGTTGCACAGCGATGTCCTATTGGGAAAAGAAGAGAAGGTGGGAACAGAAGGAACAGAGGGAAGAAAGTAAGGGAGAAGAGGGCAAGGGAGGGGAAAGAAAATACCGGCACTGGGAGTCAGGGAGGCGGGTGCACCATGTACGGACCTAATCTATACCGTTGTGTGTAGCTGTGGGCTCTGGAGCGAGTTATTTCCTCCCTTCGACACATTTACCTTCTTATTTATCCTCCCTTTGAACTTTCTCAAACTACCTCTTTCTACCCATTGCTCCTCACAGCCAAATCCCAGGGCCACCCTGCATGGGTTGAATTCACAGGGCTGGTTTCGGGGAGGGGGGTGAAACTAGGCTAAGTCAGTATAAGGCAAAGCAGATGGTGAGCTGTTCTGAATTTTAAGGAAATGTGTAAAGGTCTGTCTTTCCAGCCTCAAGGCCCCTTAGAAGCAGTAACTGAGTCTCTTAGCCTTGGGGAAAAAAAAGAAAACAGAAAATGCCCAGGAACTTAATCCTTTGTGAAAGGTCCCTGGTGCCTAGGTGTTCAGGGCTTGCACAGCAAAGGAGGACATGACAATAAAGTCACTGGTTCCCACCAAGGCTGACACAGTCCACTGAATACTACCTGGACTTCAGCCAAATTGGAAAGGAAGCAGTCCGTAGTTCCAGTCACACAGGTCTGCCAGCCTGCTACCCAGCAGGGAGGCTATGTATATAATAACGCATATTTGAAACTATCAAGCAAAGAGGATTTCGAATCCTCAAGGAAACCACAAACATTTGATGATAGGAGAAGAAAGAAAGGCTTCATGAAAGTTCCTTTCTCATTTTCTACGAATCTTTTGCTGTGACACATAATCTCTCATCCATACATTCTCAGCGTCCAGACTGAGAGCCTCTGGGATGAGACCACGTATTCTGTAAGTCTTTACTTTGTCTTGTAGACACTTGTCACATCCTCGGTCCCCTTTCAGCTTCAATTTACTTGACATCTTCCTTACTCCCAAGTGCTCTGACATTAAGACAGAGTTAGAATCTGAAATCTGTCTCATAATGTGATTTCTCTCCCTCTCTCTCTCTCTTTCAGGAAAGGAGGCGTGGAACTGCTTGTCCTGTGTGTGGAGCTACCACCTTCTGAACGGAATCTGTACCCCAGAATGTATTGTAGGGGAATACAGAGATGGAAAGGTACTGAGACCTGGGGTTGGTATATGCTCTCCCACTCCCACCCTCGTGGAGCTCAGTTTCCCCATGTCTTTCTGGGAAGTGAAAACGGCCTACACATCACTACACTCTGCACAGCCTACGTTTAACACCGTACCATCGCTTTCATTCATAAAATAGTCAAGCTGCCAACCTTCAGCTTCCACTTGATTCCCTGGAACTGAAAAGACCTAAAATAACCTGAGCCCTGTATCCATTCATTACGATCACAGAGGAAGCTCAGTCCCCGACTACAACAGAAATACAAACTCTCCTCTTTCTGGCTGTCTGAACAGACAAGTATGTGAAGACAGAAGGAAGCTTGCTGCTCCTGTTCTTCCATTTCCTCCACATCTTGCAGTGAGTATAGGATTAACCAGCTTTCCTGGGAGCCACAGATTTTCTGAATCCATTCACTTCTTGGTTGTGGTTCTAAACTTGAAACCATAAAAAAAAATGCATCGATGGTTAAATTAAAATAAATCAACACATTTTCATATAAGCTCTCTTTGAATCAAAGTTAAAGTTCAGAGAAGTTAAAGAATTTACTAATGATCACGTGGTAGCATAGGTAGGAGTGCACCCAGAAGATTTGACAAGAACATCTGAAGACACTCTGTCAGCATTGTAGATATTCCCAAACGCTTCAAGAAAAGCAATTTTCACTCCTCTTTTTCTTTTCTCTTCATGTATTTATTTTCAGTGGTACCTAGCACACACATAGCAGGTGCTCTGCCACTGAGGAAGAGCACCAAGGAAGGAGAGAGTTGTTGCCATGGACCTTGAACCCTCTTCCAATGAGCTTTAATTATCCTAGTTATAATCGCCAAGATTTGTGTTTATATAAACACCAAGATTTGTGTTTATCATCATCATCATCATCACCTTCCGTTTCACTGAAGTTATGGATGTCTAGTAAGACAGTATCTTCTGGGCAAATGACATGGCTTAGTATGTAAAAGTGCTTGCTGTACAAGCAACTTGCGTGTAATCCTCAGATTCCATGGTGGAAGGAGAGAACCAGCTCCTAAAATCTGTCCTCTGACCTCCGAGCGCATGCCAACATACACATCTGTACACACACATACATACATACACACCACCAACAACAACTATAATTATTATTGTTGATGGTGGTGTTATTGTTGCTGTTGGATTTTGTTATTGTTGTTGTTGTTGTTGTTGTTGTTGTTTAAATGGAGTTTCTTTCCCTAACCCGTATTTCTAGCACCAAGGAAGGAGAGAGTTGTTGCCATGGACCTTGAACCCTCTTCCAATGAGCTTTAATTATCCTAGTTATAATCGCCAACTGTATTCTGAGTCTAGGTACAAGAATCCAGGAACCATAGAAGTCAAGCAGGTAGCTAATATAAAAGAGTAAGGACTAAAGAAAACCAAAGCATTCACTTGATGAAAAGTAGAAATCGAATCCCAGGATTCAGGAGGCTGAGCACAGGAGCAGGAGGATCATGCATTTGAAGCCAGATCAGGCTACAGAGCAAGACTTTGCCTTGATAGATAAGTCCATAGATAATAGATGAGGGGGGGGATACATGGATAGATACATACATAGACCAACAAGAAGAAGAAAAAAAAACTGCACATAAACACAAAAGTAAAAAGAAATGGAAAACGATATGCCACCTATGAGTTGATGAATATGAAGTGCTGGGAATCACATCAAATTGGAAAACACTAAGAGGGGAGCCACTGCCATTCTACTCTGTTCCTGACGTTGCCGAGTGAGACTCTCACTACAAGATTAACAGCTCTAGATACCAAGAAGGTATTAGTAATTGACGAATGCCTGCAATATTCCTTTTGCAAAAGTGCAGTGATGTGAAAATGTTTGACTGCCAAAGTGTTTGGCAAAGTTAAACACAACTGGTCCTTGACTTGGCTGCCTTTGAGTTTGTTACATTGTAACGAAACCCTCCAGAAGCCTGTAATTCTCCTGCTACTATTCCTAGCGAGTCTCAGAGGTCAGAGTCCAACTAAGGTTTCCTCCAGTCTTACACAGTAGGCTTGGTCTTCTACCCAGCACAGATAAAATGAACTAGAACACCCACACTGCCTCACCACCACCACTCATTACATTCTTCCCTATTCACAGCACAACAGAAAATAGCCTTTTGAGAACTCCCGTACCTAGTTAAAACCTCTGCACTCAAAAACCACCTCTTTCCCTGTTCTTTACAGGGAGAACATTTTAACTGTAAAAAATGCCATGAGAGCTGCATGGAATGCAAGGGTCCTGGGAGCAAGAACTGCACGGGATGCTCAGCTGGCCAGCTGCTACACATGGATGACAGCCGCTGTCTCCATTGCTGCAATGCTTCCCACTCCCACAGACTCCAGGACTGCTGTGACTGCCAGAGTTCCACAGGTGAGTGCAGATGGGGCAGCCTATAGGAAAATGGCACATCCTCAGAAAGCTGATGGGGACAAAGTGGAAGGAGGAATATGAATAGTTCACAAAGCCGCTACTGTGTGCCTACCTACTTGAAACCTCCTGGTTCACAAATTGGGCTTGTTGTCATCTCAGTGACAGATACCTGAGGAGAACTATTTAAAGGAGCGTTTATTTTGGCTCATGGTCTCAGAGATTTTAAGTTCATGGTCACTTAGCTCTGTTGTTTCTAGGCAACAGTGAGCCTCTGCCTCATGGCAGAAAGCATGTGGTACAGTATCACAGCTCACCTCATGACAGTCAGGAAGCAGAGAAGTTTGAGAAAACGCATCTTTCCAGGACAGGCCCCAGTAACCTATTTCCTCCAACTGGAACCCATTTTTCACCACCTCCAAGTAGTGACATTGTATTATGTATCAACAGATTCATCCACTGAATAGGTCACTCCCCATAAATTCATCAGCTAGTAACCAAGGCCCAAGTCTTTGGGGGAGATATCTCAGGTTCAAACCTGAATCCAACAGACCCCATTTTAGCAACAAAGAGACAGAGGCCCAAAGATTGGATTGCCCTGCCTTAGTCCACAGCAATAGGTAAGAGGCTCATCTAGAACCAGACTTAATAGTGCTTGTGTGTAATCTAAACACTTAGGAGGTAGAGGCAGGAAGATGAAGAGTTCAGGGCCACTCTCAGCTAAATTGAAAATTTGAGAGACCATCTGGGGCTAGCTCAATTTTTTGAGACTAGACTTCATATTTTAAGAAAAAATCACATACACACATGCACATCACAAATGCTCAACTAGAATTTGAGCATGAGCTTACTAGACTACAAAGCCCTAAAACCTCACATTCTTTCTACAAATATGCTGCCCCCCATCTTAACAAAGTCTAGAAACTGATGTTCATAAATGTATTTTGTTTCTTTTTATCTTTGCTCCTAAGGGAAAGAGGGAAAGGAATTGGTTATTTTGATTCTACTGAAGCTCTGTCTAGTCCAGCTCAAATCTAGCCATTTCATTAGAGATTGGAAGCATTTTAGAAATAAGATATCACTGAAAGCTGAGAACAAATAAAACAACTTTATCAATTCCAAGTCTTCAATTATCCTCCAACCTCCAACCCCATCAATGTATATTAAAACTTAGAAAGATCAGAGGGCCTGGAGATGGCTCAGGTTTTAAGAGCATCCATATGGTTGCTTGAAGTGTATGCAACTCCAGTTTCAGGAGATCCAGTGCCCTGTTCTGGTTTCCTGGGGCACCAGACACACTTGTAGGGCATATATGTGCATGCAGGCAAGCCACTCATATGTACATGTGCCCTGGCAAGAATGTTACCACTGAACCACCAGTGTAAGCCATCCTTACACATAAAAAATAAAAATGAGTACATCTTCAAGCAAAATAAAACTTAAGGTTTCTGAATGGAGCAATCCCTTCTATGCGAAAAACATACTCTTAAAATACAATTCTCCTCCAGAAATAGACCACTTCACTAGGATTCAGATGTATCATGCCTAACCAAAACCAGTAAATGTTGTATTTGTCTACTTGTAAGTAAAGAAAGTCTGAGAGCCATAACTAATACCAGCCATGGATTTATCTTTCATTTCAGCCTTTCATTAGTTTATAAGTACCACCTTTCCAAGAACTAATTAATCCTCTCCTTCCCCAGCTTTCCTACACACCAAGAGCAACTGGTTTCTCCAGGTCCTTTATCTGCACCTCCCTGCAGGATCTGATGCAGGGCTGTCAGCTGAGAGCAACAGCCCTCATGACATCAATGTATTTAAATGAAACCTGAAGCATAGGCTTCTTGAGAGCAGTTTCTGAATGTTTGTTCTAAGAAAGAACTTAATCATATTTCCCAGTTCCTAAAATCTATCTAGGGCAACCCTACCAAAAGAGAAAGGAAGGAAAGAAGGAAGGAAGGAAGGGAGGGAGGGAGGGAGGGAGGGAGGGAGGGAGGGAGGAAGGAAGGAAGGAAGGAAGGGTCTTCCTAGGCTAAGGATGAAGTTCCATGGTAGACTCATATCATAGTATGTATATGAGGAGAAATACAGAGCCCAGATATTCAAGCTTAATTGTACCTTTGATACTGAGACAGCTTCTCGCTACAGAGAAACCAAATGGTATAGCCTGGCTCTGGGCCAGTGACCTAAGACCAAGGATAGTAAGATGTGAGTGCATCCAGCACCCTGAAAAGAAAACATCCTCCAAAGGTCCTGTACAGATCCTCCTGTCTCAGGAACCACATGCCACAGATTATTTATCTGTCCTTCTAGTATGATTGTATTTCCTCCAGGGGACAAGTCTGTGCTGACATAGGTAATGTAAAATACAATAATGATAATACTGCTATTTTAGAGGAAACAATTTTGCTTGATGGGCAAAATCCTGTTTGAATAAAATAGAAACCCCATTAAACACCAGTGTGTGCGTGGGGGGGTTGTACTGGGGTGTCGGTCACTGGAGTTACTCAGTTGCAGGAGTGGCTTCAAGGTCCCTGTGGAGGGGTAGAGAATGTGAGAGAAAGTGGGGAATAGAGGGGAAGGGGAAGAAGAGCCTACTGTGTATTTAAATTTCTACAACAAACTGGGCAGATAGCTTTTCCTCTCATATATATATTGCTTCACTGTATGGTAAATTACAAAGAAAAGAAAATTAGTTAAGCTACTCAAGTCATACTGCCTGAATGAATGAATATAAAATAAGAAAAATCAGCTAAATGATCAAGTTATGGTTAACTCTTCTTTCTATGGAGCTTTTTTGGTCCTGTCTGGTCCTGAATTTTCAATTATGCTATGATCTTTTGTCATTTAAGATGGTAGACAGGATGTAGAAATAATAGAGTATTCTTTTTCTTGATCAGGGAGTGTCAAGAATTTCCAAGAAACCCAAACATAGTGATCAGAGAATTTGCCTCCAGAAGCCCCCTGAATTTGAAGTTAATGGATTGGAAAATACACTTGTTTTACAAACCAGTTCTCATCTATCACAAACAAATTGGCCCCAAAATTTTCCAAGGCCACAAATGACTAAAAGTCCATGGGCTTTATAAATTATGCTTTCCTGTTCTTAAAGTCATGTTGGACCAGTCTAAAAGTTTGTTAGAGAGATAACTCCATTTTAGAAAAAAAAAAATCAGAGTTCTCGTTTAGTGGTACCGAAAGGAAAACAAAAAACAAAAACCCATTTCTCAGAAATCAAAGAATCCGTGAGAGGGTTTGACCCTTGGAGACTGGTCCAGGAAACAAGGATCTGGAGTCTCTTTTGGATCTCAAACTTAACAGTCTAGAAGCATTGGTTGGTTTTATCAGACATGGACTGGGACTCTGTGGGGATATATACTGAGTTTTTGTAGACGAAAAGACAATGATTCTGCCATTTTAGCTGTAGAAAGTTCCTTACTTTACAGCTTAATTTTCCCAATTCTGTTTCTTCCCCCCCCCCCCCCCGCCTTTGTTGCTGCCTCTTGGACGTCCTCCATCCATCAGAGGAGTGCATCCTTCCAGCCAGCGAGGGTGAGTTCTATGAGCACACCAAGACTGCTCTGCTGGTGACCTCAGGCGCCATGCTGCTGCTGCTGCTGGGGGCTGCTGTGGTCGTGTGGCGGAAGTCCCGAAGCCGACCTGTGGCGAAGGGACGCTACGAAAAGCTGGCAGAACCCACCGTGTCATACTCCTCCTACAGGAGCAGCTATCTTGATGAGGACCAGGTGATTGAGTATAGGGACCGGGACTACGATGAAGATGATGAGGATGACATAGTCTATATGGGCCAAGATGGCACTGTCTACCGGAAGTTCAAGTACGGGCTGCTGGATGAGACGGAAGATGATGAGTTGGAGTACGATGATGAGAGCTACTCTTACCAATAAACAGAGCCTTCCTCCCACCTCAAACTTCCACAACCCACCCTCACCCCCTGCCTGCCACCCCCAGCCTCCCATCCCTTCCTGGTCCCCAGGCCTCTCAACCCTGCTGAGAGCTACCAATACATAGGCTGAGGTCCTCGTGTTTGTTTTGTCCTTATTTTACATCCAACCTGAATATGCAGGGATGCTGGAGTCTGCTGTGCTGCTTTTGATTAGCTGAGTGCAATGAACATATCCCGCTAGAGGAGAATTCGAAGGCATTTTCCCTGAGGGTATGTTAAGACATTAAATGCAGGAGACAAAAAGAAATGAGATCTGTTGAACATTCTAATGTGATTTTTTTAAAGTGGATGGAGAAGACCTGTAAGGATTCTGCTTTCAAACTGTGCTTGGAGACTCACCCGCACAACTGCTACCTTCTAGAATTCTGATATTTTAAATATAGGGGAGATGGAGTATCCCGCAGAGTTGTTGGGGCTGGGGTGGGAGATCTCTCCCCTTTCAATTGTGTTTTTTAAAAAGTCTGTAAAGACCAAGAAAAGGGACTTGTAGTTTCTTTAACAGTACTCCTGAAGAGCAACCATCTCTCCCCTGACTGCTTAGGAGCCATGAAAAATGAAAGGACTAGCAGCCTCACAGCTGACTGACCACATGCTCACTGAGCCACAGCTCCTTTACAGAAACCCAGAACCATAATGATCCAAGAACAGAGAAAGTTCCAATGGAGGGAAGGCAGCACCAGGGCCAGAAGGAAGAAAATTGTTTCCAAGACTCTCACCCCTGTGATTTTTCTAAGAGCCTCATTGGTAGGAAATAATAAAAGAAAAAAGTGTTAATAGTAACCTAACACAGAAGACAAAAATTTCACTCACTCTCAAAAATTAAATAAAGACTTTAGCTGCTAAATCAGACCAAAGCTGTCATCAATGAGTCATCAAAGAAGCTTGGACTCTCCATAAGAAAAGGTGGGCCAGAGCCTAAAAAAATTCCCATCATGCTTCTCGCTGGCTGTAAACAACTCCCCAGCTCTCTTTACCCCTGCAGTTTGTTTTGTTTCTAGGCTTTCTTGGCTCTGTCTCCACTCTGGTCACCTTAGATTATGCAACTGTGGGCACTTTTTCTGAAGATGGTAGTTCATAGTGAGGGCACTGGGAACAAAATGACACAAGCAAAATCCCCTGGGGCTTCTTGTGATAGGAAATGCTATGTGTAGAGAACACCAACAGTCACGGTGACATCATCAGTTGATGACAGTCATAATACAATGAATCCCACACCTGCCACATGCCAGGCACTAAGCTAATTAACATCTCTCACTCACTTCATACTTAACAACTCGACCAAATGCTGCCATCAATCCCTTGTTCTCATAGATAATCTGATGCTTCCAAAAAGGCTAAGCTACTTAGCTCAAGATTCAAGGAATAAGAATGACCTTAAAGCATGTATTCTTAATAACTGTGCTCCACTGACAGTATGAAAACAGGCATCCTAAATACAATAAAACTATGTCTGTTATTTATTCTATGACAGTCATCCTACATACTATAATGACATCTGTGAATGTAAATAACATGTACTTATAGGAAATTCCAGTGCTTATGTTTGTTACTTTAGAGAAAAGCCCTTAGGACACAGGCCACTAAATAGTTTCTGCCAATATCCAGATTTCTTTTCAGGCTTTCTAAGCTAAAAGGCCTAGGTCGGGATTGCTCAGACCTGCCATGGGAGCGTGCATAGAAGCATTACAAAATTAATGAGTAAGCTGTGCTCCAGCAACACTAATATCTGAATTTCAAGTCATTGTCACATATCATGAAATAACATCTTTTTGATGGTTGTTTAAAAAGCAAAAAAAATGAGATCCCTGAATCTAGCAACTGGTGGCCTCAAATTCTTCAGACATCATATGAATCACATACACATAGGATAAAGTTATCAAATTTTTGATCATTTAAAATGATCTCTTCAAAATCCATTTGATTGGTCACTTTTTGACCCTTAAGATAGCTTTAAAGAATCGCCTTCATATCGATGGAAGAATCCATTCCTTGCTATGTAATTCCAGAGCCCAACTATAGAAACAAGTATCTCTGAGCATATGTCATTTGTCTTCCTTGAGAACACAGAGGCAAACTGAGCTGCTCTCAGGAGCCTACAAAAACATTTTCCCAAGAAAAATATCTGTGCTTATGATGATGTGCACTCTTACAAGCTGACTTGAAATACAAAAAAACAAGTGTTATTACTCTTTGTGATACACATAAAAAGACACTGTGTGCCTGCCTGTGTGTGATTAAGGCTTGACACCCAGCCTCCTGTCTTTGCGGTCATAAGGCATCTTCTCAAACTTCCTTTGAATTCTATGCTAGCAATGTCCTTAATGGATAAACATGTGGTTGGAAAACATCTTTCAGTTTTTTGCTTGCAAATAACTTGAAAATGTTAAGACTAGAAATACATCAGGAGACTGAGTAAAAGCTCAGATGATTCTGGCTCCCAGAAAGAAACTTTAAATTGGAAGTAAAGTGAAATCAAGAACAGAGAATGCTACAGAGACCTGCTTATTAGGGGACTATTTCTGAACAGTTTTATGTACATAGTACTTACGCTATACTGAATAATAGCTGCAGAACAGTAGGTGTTCTGGGTTTTGTCTGCTTTAATCGATCTACACCCAATGCTGAGCAAGTGTTATCATTGATGAATTTCCTCTCCAATAAATCGATACCATCTTTCTTTCAGTCCCATCACCACTGCCTCATCCCTGGCGATACTGAATTTTGATCTTTCTCCATTTCTTTCTTTTGCTAGCAAAAGTCATGTAGGAGTAGACAGGCTAATGCAGGTTATAATCTTGGCACTCAGGAAGCTAAAAAAAAAAAAAAGTAAAGTATCATGTCAGGAAGAAAGAGGAAAAACAGGCAGAAACAGACAGAGACCAACTCCATGAGATGGCTTAGCTCTTGTGCAGGCTTGACAATGGTGAATGGAGAAAATGTCTCTGACTTCACATGCACACCATGGCACACACACAAACAACAATAAGCTAGTCATAGTGCTTCGTGCTTGTAATTCCAGCATATAGGATGGTGAGTCAGGAGGATTGCCATGAGAGCAAAGCCAGCTTGGGCTATCGAGTATTTCAGGAAAGTCTGAACAACAATGTAGACCATATTCCAGCAAGGTCGATTCCAGGATGACCTGTGAGTGACATTCAGCTTCTGCACACTTGCTCCTCACTTGTCTTTAAACTTCTCACCCACAGGTCCCTGGTCCCTCCCAATTTCCCAGCCTCCCATCTTATACTCCGGAAGTACCAAATTGCTTCTGGGCTCTTGGAATACCATGCCATTCCTTACATCCTTCAGCATGAATTGGTCATCCTCTAGGGAAGTTGCTTTTGCAGTCTTGACCAGAAGGAGAATTTCTGGTCATCCTTTAAAGTTGTGCTCTCTTGTCATCCATCCTAGGAGGTCTTCCTCTGTCACATCATCATGAGTCTTCTATGTAGACACTTCTATGTAGACGCTCTGTATGTACATAGAGGTTTCTTCACCTTACTTTGAGATCCTGTTTGCTTACCTGTGTGTATGGCAAAATCTGGTTACTCTTTCAGGTGGCTGTTTTTGTCTCCTTCCAGAATCTAGGACACAGTGCCCAACACATGGTGTGTGTGTGTGTGTGTGTGTGTGTGTGTGTGTGCACGTGCATGACCCAGTACACTCTGTAGCCAAGGATGGTAGCTCACAGTTGAAATCCCAGTACTCAGGAGGCTGAGGCAAAAGGATCATCACCATGAGTCTGAGAGGCCAAATTGGGTAACATATTAAGTCCCTGGCCAGCACAGACTACAGATTGAGACACCGTTAAAAAATAAAATCAAACAAACAAACAAACAAAAATACCCAACAACTTACAGAAGTTGTTAATGTAAAGCTTGGTTCTTACCCCAAAGGGAATTTGTCATGAACCAACTATGAATGACTGTGACCCAGAGATATGAATTTAGATTTCTTGAAGTGATGTGTCCTGCTATTGAAACGATTATATGCATTTTTATAGGCACAGAAAAAAAAAGCAGGCACAAGTTAATGCCTACTTTTAATAATGTCACCACCAATATGTGGTGGGGACAACAGGTGGAGATGCTACAGCAAAGTGGAGAAACTATTTCAGAAGCTATATGACTACATTCTTAGCTTGTGAAAGCTCAAAATCTGCTGTAAAATACAAAGGCTTTATCTGATAGTCCAAAGCAATGTCTGGTGGGCAATAGAGGTGTGTGATGAATGTCTACTAAAGGACTAAAGTCTAAGACACAAGTTTGGCTCTCAGCCCACATCGTTACAACCCTTCACAGTCAGGAAGTGCTAATAGGTCTGTAGAATCTTCAACATAGGCACTTTTTCAGGGAACATTAATTCATAAATTGAACTTTTTCTTTTTGGTTAGTGCATATATGTCTTCTTATCTGGAAAGTACCACATGTCTGGAGTGGTCCAGAAGCCAGCAAAGGTTGCCAAATCTCTGGGAGCTAGAGCTACAGACCATTCACTGACCATGGGACCTCTACAAGAGCACTAAGTACACTTGACCAATGAGCCATTTCTCCAGCCCTCCTGTTTTGTTTGCTTATGAGACAGGTTCTTATTACAAAGACCAGGCCAGGTACAAACTCATGATCATCCCCAAGCTTAGAACTGAATTTTATGAAGACAAGCTTTGCAGGGTGTGGTGGTACATACTTATAACTCTAGCATTCAGAAGGCTGTAACAGGACTAGAAACAAAACAAAAGCATCCATGAGACGTTTTACAATCTTACACTGGGGAACACATCTGAAGAGGTATACATTTCCAAATGTAACCTGGAGAAATGGCTCAGCAGATAAGAGCACGTACTGCTCCTGCAGAGGACCTGAGTCTGCTTACTAATACCCCTGTCGGACAGCTCAAAATCACCTCTAACCTCCAGTTCCAGAGGGATCTAATACCTCTCACCTGTCGGCAGTCACATGAACAAAGTATGCACTCACAAAATTAAAATCAAAAGTAAACCTTAAAGAATTTCCAAGTGTGAAATCAGAAGTTCCATCTGGTGGAAATAAGTAACTGCCGTTTTAAAGAATTGAAGCTGGAGACTGAAAGTCCTCAAAACACACTCTGACAGACACAAAGTGGGGCCCTACTTTAAATTTGTGAAAAACGAAACTTCTTCGGGGTGGGGGTGGAGAAATGTAAATAAGATAAAAAAGAAAGAGAGAAAGAAAGAAAAGAAATTTCTTCGGTGTACTATGTAGCTACTGGACCAAATTAAGACGTTTAAATAAGTAGTAGTTCTGTTCAGTTTTCACTTAGAACATAACTAGAAGGGAAATATAATAACCCCATCGATCCATGCCCAGTGTGGCTAGACCTTATTTGATCATGATACAACAAACCAAGGCAATTTGCCAAGGTTCTCTGGGAATGAATGAATAAGAGGCAAGTCGGAGGATTCCACTGAGGTTCTAGTTTTTACAGCTAGTGAGGTATCCTTGTGTCATTTTCAAATATAAGTAGCAAAGAAAAGGAGCTACAAAGTAAAGCCATGGCTTCATGAGGCTGGGGATGAAGCCTCACAGATAGGCAATGGGCCTGCTTCCTCCATGACTGCAGCCCTGGGGTTACAGGAGGCCACTTACAACCATAAACTCTTGGAATCTTAAAAGCAATTAGGAATCAATTTGACAAATGGAAATGGGTCTATTTACAGTTTGGCTGAAGCTGGAAGGAACAGGCTCCTGGTTTCTATCTTTCTGTAGCAGGCTTACAGTTTTATAGAAATGATGAGACAAAAGGCAAGAATCAGTACATGTTATTAAGTTTTCAGAGCCGTGTTCAGTCTCTGTCTAAGAGACTGGTTCCTC